ACGATCATCAACCCTCCAGCTGTCCTTTAATGCTGATATGTGCTCCCAGCAAAAAGGACTTTAATGCAAAGACCATTAAGGAGATCGAGATGCGGCTTTCCATGTTGAAGTACCTTAACAAAGAGAAACTAGTAGTTACTGGGTGTCCCCTTAATCTGGCAAAAAAAAAAAAAAAAAGTCTAGATAAAAGCAAGTGGGGATAAGCCAGATGTGTTTAAGCAAGGATCAAGACACCTCCTGTCTTGGTGAGTTCAGACTGAGATTACCATGAGGAACTACTGTTAGAACTCACACACAAACTGTGCTGTAAGTGTATGCTCATGACTGTGTTTAGAACAGCTAAGTGGCTGAAATACAGTAGCTTTCCAAGCACAGAAACAGCACGATAACCTAAGATTGCCTGCTGATACTCAGAATTTTGAATTCTTGTATGAGGTTACCCTCTCACAAGCTATCATTCTATTATAGCACTTCATCTTCACAGTCATTTTCTTCCTCAAACAGCCGATAAACCCTCAACCCCCAGGCCCAAACCTCCTAACTTCTTGTGCAGCTCTTTTCCTGCAACTGTTCTCTCTGCTGATCTCCAAAGCCTTTTCAGTTCTACAGAACATTTTCTGATTTTGCTTTTGTTTTTCAGGGGCGATGATTCATGCCTTGTGGTGACACAAGGGCACTGAATGATAACATTACACAAGTGCCACACTTCAGCCGTCCCACTGAATTCTATAGGACTTTCTGTCTATTGGATCACTGGTAAGTCAGGCTCCATACACTGAAAGCATTCATGTTTCACAGAGATGTAGGAAATACTTGGGCTGTGCTTAAGGAAACAGGAATTTTAACATTTATTTCAACGTCTTCCAAAGTTCATCTCACATTTCTGTGGCCATTTGTGTAATCAATTTGTTAGTGCTTGCTAGAAATGAGAAAAAAAGGATCTGATTTTTCTTCCGTATTTCCTGTAATTACTTCTATTTAACAGAGGTGGAATTGATTCTGAAAACCCTAGCAGACTTTTTTATAAGCAAAAATGTGAAATGATATCCAAGAAGAGAATTATAATTGAACTCCTGTAGGAAAATTACCTCCCTGTTTTGTGTTTAGGACATGTAAAAATTACTTTGGCATTTCCTTTTGCCAGCAGAGGAATCCATTAAATACAGTGAATCTCTTTGCTCTTGTCAAGAAGACAGTAATAGAGAAGATGACCCTTACTAAAGGTAAGACACAATTTAAGTAATGTTACGTTTTGCTACAATGTTTGCATGCAAAAAAAGATTTCTTCATGTGAGCTTATTTTTCTTTTTTTTACTTACTTTGAGAAGGATTTTCACCAGTGGTTGTAATGACCTTCAAAACATAAATTATATGGCTACGAGCTAAGATGTGATGGGAACTGCCTTTTCTGTTTGTTTTTTCTTTCCAAATAACTGCTTGTTTTCAAGTGATCATCACAGCACAGCCTAGGTGAACTTGTGTTGCTGTAAACCCTGAAAGTAATACAGCAGTGGACTGCTTACCTTGGTGATATTTTTAGTGTTGGTGTCATTCAGGCGTTCAGATGGATAATGCTACACACTAAAGCATCCATGCGCTTTTACTTTGAGTCATTAGGATAGACTCTGGAAAATACAAAGCAAATGCTGAACTCTGTCATGAGTCAATTTTAGTTTTCAGCATTAAACTTTAGAGGGAAATTTTCTTTTGATTTCATCTGGTTTTTGAAAGTGTGTTTATTGTATGCATAGCACAGTTAAACATCCTTTGAAACAGAAGAGTTGATGTTCCTTTGAGAGAATGAATGTTCATAAGGACTTTCTTTTATCGTCATCCGTTGCTCTGAAAAGCTATTTCTTACAACATCCATAACTGCTTGGGTAGAGAGAGAAGATGCTCTCCAAATTATTTGCAGGTGCATTTTTCTAAAGCTTTGGGAAGTCATTGGATTCATTAATGTGGCACATTCCAAACTTCCTTGCAAATTTCTTGCAGAACCTTGTCATTCATTATTTGTACGCACGTATATGTATTTTTATGACTGTTAAAAATCACTATAATGAAGGAAAGAGATTTAGAGATCTAGGCTTATAATTTCACTGAATTATTGAATGTTTCGTTAATACTTGATTTAAAAGAAAAAAGCTTTTCAACCCATCAACATTCAAGAGTGAATGTTGATGAATAGCATATTCTCAGAAACAAAGAATAGCTGGTAAGCAACAGAAATCAAGCATGTATATGCCGTAGCAATCACACAGCATTTCTGATTTGTTGACCACTGTTCAACCACCAAGTTTGATAACAGCAGCAAAGAATTACACTAGGAGGTTTGCCAAGGTCTGAAATACTAAGATGTGTGTCAGGAAAACTTCTTGTGTAAATCCCCTACTACTCCTTTTTTAAATAGAATTTTCCTGAAAAGAAAAAGAAGAAAGAAAAAAAGTACATGCTTCTTAAAATGTTAACTTCCTCTAAAAGATTTCCTCCACTTCAGGAACCTGGCATGCAGCAAACCACTTCTAAATCAAGCTGCAAGCCGGTACTGTAGAAAAACAAAGAGTTTATTGGTACCAGACATTTGTAAATAAGTAATTGACACTCATGCTATAACAATGAGCAATTCCAAAAAAAACAGGGAGCTGCCAGGATAAACAAGTTTGCAATGAGATCCATCCAGTGCTGGATATCCATCGGGGTCAGTCCCATCAGTGGTGGTCACAATAACAGCTCTGGGACCAGCTGGAGTTCTGCAGCGCAGCCGTCTCCTGCTTTTGTCTGCTCTTCCATTCAGATCCCTAGCCACGGGCAGGCTGCTAGCTGTGGCAGTGGTGTCTGCACAACGTTCTGAGGGCTGGCGACACATCCAAAGCCTTGTGAATAACATCAAACTGTAGGCACTCTTTGGTAGCCGTGAACATGTTAAAAATAGCATTAGAAAATAGGGCGTCTGAGCAAAAAGGTTCTGTTCAATGCATAGCAAAACATTAATTTAAACGGGAGAGTACTGACCTTCTGAATTAACTCTTTCTGTCACTGTTGTTTCCTGCAGCTTCAGGTAGATGCTGTGCATCAGACTGGTGAGCAAGGTAAGAAAGCATAACACCTTTTCTTTCTTAGTTTGATCTTAAAACAGACTTAATGACAGCTCTGAATTGAGTGAAACTCTGCCCAATGCAAAAAAAAAAAAAAAAAAAAAAAAAAAAAAAAAGGAAAAGTCCCAACCAACTAAAAGAACTTGCATTCGCTTTGTCATGGATTCAATATGAGGTTAGCTTTGTGCATTTATTTTACTTTCCCCAGTGTGGATGGTTATTTTCAGAACGGCTTACCATTTTTTTTTAAATTGTTTTTAATGAAGTCTTACTGTCAGTAAAACTCTCTTGGAGTGAATGATTTTTGAAAGCCTTCGCTCAGAATACCTGTGTTTCTGCTGGCTTTCAAGTTCAGGATGCCATTTTTTAAGTAAGTGACTTTCCTAGAAAAAAGGGAACAGGAAGGGATGACAAAAATTTTTCTTTGATTGAATTTAACTTTCTGATTGGGGTGAGGATGCAGGTTTGTGAAATTAAGAAGAACAGGCAGGCAAGTTCTTGACTAGGAAAAGTTGCGGAATGTCTTTTCCTCATCCTCTTGTTCTCCTGTTCAAGAAGGTTTATGTGTCTTGTTGTTTTTCTTTACTGTTTTTTTAAATTAAGACATAGAGCAGAGAGGTCAGAAAACAGAAGATGTGACGAATTCCAGTGAAATGTGTTTTAGCGTCAGATGCTGGGTGTACACTGTTGAAAATAAGTACATGAATCTATTTTAATAACTGCTTTAATTAAAAAAAAAGTTTTAAATTATAAATACTATGGATTGCAAACAACATAAGACAAAGCAAATTGTACAGTAACAGAGATGCACCCACATATATATTGTATATCAAATATGTGCTGCTATGGAGTAGAAATCCATTGTTTTTGGTAAGTTAGTGAGTATTTCCAAATAGATGTTGCATTGCTGAGGCTATTCTAGGCTAATAGGAAGAGTATTTGAATTGTTCAGCAGTAATCTCTTCAGTACTTGTGTCATGACAGCAGATTTCTAAAATGTTACTAAGCCAAAGCCGTTCTTAATTCCTTTGATGAGTGCAACAGGGAGTGAGAGCAATTATCTCTAAATTTAGCTGTTCTTTTATTCTTAAACTGATGTATGTTTCCCCAAAATGTTAACAGAGTAGCTTCTAAACACTCAACATTCAGCCTTGCGAAACTGCTTGCATGCCATTCAGTTCAGCTATGTTGCTCAGTATTTGTGGTGTGCAATGAGCCGCCTGTGCCTATTGTTTTTGTTCCCAGATTAAATCTCTGAAGGCTTTGGCTGTCTCAATCTCCATTGAAGTCACTGGGATCTGAAGACACTCACAACTTTCTTAGTACGGTGCTGTTTGCTGTAAGTGTTAATATGGTCAAAGGAAGACTACCCACCAAAGACTGTAAGCAACAGTAGCAAAACCTTATTATTTTTTACAAACACTAATGCTACCTGGGGACCATTTCATTCTCCAAGTGTACATCTGTTTGAGCAAAGGATTCCCAGAAACAAGTAACAAGAATATTGAGACCATTGCTCAATAACCACAGCTTTGATTTGGCAATAGTTATTGAGACCTGGAAGGGTTTTCCTGGGCTCAAAACTTGGCTGTTTCTTGTAGCGATGTTTCCAGTTGGGTTGTATGGATTATTTCATGTTATTAGAGCTGAATACTACTTATCTACCATTTCAGATTTGCTAGTGCTTTTATCTTGCCGCAATGTATTTGTATGCTGTAACGTACAGCAAAATGCCGTTGTAATTTTAATGTCGGGTGTACCCACTGTGAGTCTCAGATTTGTATTGCTCTGGGGAATGTGTCTGAGCTCTGTCCTTTTTAAGCCCAGTTGAAGGAGTGCATCCAGATGCATTAGTTTCAAATCTTATATTCAAATGTTTAGGTGGAAATGAAGTGTGATCATTGTAACCAGGCCTTTATGTGTTTGACCGCAATTCAGCCCACGTGGTGCCATGAGACAAGGGTGAGCGGATGCTCTTACCTCTACAGCCAAAGTACACACATCCTTCCAGAAAGAAAGAACTCATCTTCTGAAGCAGCAGGTAAATAAAAGAATATGGGTAAAAGATTTGTGGAGAAATGGGAAAGGACATTTAATATATTTAATCTTATTATACATTTTTCTACATTAAAAGTCAACAGGCTGCAAATATACTTTGCTACAAAGCTTTTTGTAAGAAATATCTCTATAAGAAAATACATCTCATTAAACATTTCCTGTAAATAAATTATCACACATAACTGTGTTTTGTAAGAGGAAAAGGGAGAGGGTCAAGCTAATGATAAAAGCTCAAAATTGCTGAGCCCATTTCTGCGACCCCACAGCTCCATTTGGATTACACTTTCTTGTACACACAGTTGCAATGAAGGCAACAGAGCTCCTCTGCTGAGCATGTGCTGTCAGTGTAAATAACACAGATTTGGTTCCTGCGCTTTTTCAATATCTTGAAATTATGCTATTTCTGAACCTTATTCCTATTTTAGGTACAAGAACTCCTTTGAAATAACCAAAGTGGAGCTGATAGGACTGTGAGACTGAAGTCTAACTGAGACTGTTAAAAAACCCCAGAACCCCTTATGGCAATTAAAAAATAACTCCAGTAAGGTAAGAGACTTGTGAATTACTCATAATTTTCTTTCCTTTCTCTTTTTTAGACTCTTAAGTCTAAAGGCAATGTATTCTTATTAGGAAATCTAAGCCTCAGTGGGTGCATAAGGTGTAACTTTAAAACAACCACTGGTAGAGATGTATCAGTGGAAAAAGTGTTTTAGGTACAGGATGACATGGTCTCAAAACTACGTATTGGTGTATATATGTTGAGAACTGATGAAACAGAAAAGTCTTGTGTGTTACAAAATGTGAAACTAAGTAAATTACAAATGGGTAATTACAGATTAGCAGTAGGTCAGTTATAGAACCAGACTTCTTAAAAGAAATATCAGACTCTTTATCAACATCTATACACAAGAATTACTTGTGAACAAGTAAAATGGACAAAAGTTTAAAAAGAACTGTGAGGAAAAAAAGGATAGTCTCCATCCTTCAACTTCTAACTGCTACACAAACAACACAGAGTTGTTTCCATAGTCCAGGTACTTCCAGAATTCCTGACAGAAAAATCCAGAGAAGATCCCTTTAGAAGAGATGGAGTTCATGTTAGATACATGCCAGAAACTGGTATGCTGCATCATCACATGATGCATAATAAGTCTTTTGTGGCTCTACCATATTTTCTTGCATTGTTTTCTGCAGGAGAGGAAGTGCCAACTTCTTTGCTACCGCTAAAAAAGAAATCCATTTGCAGAATGCAATCAGATTTAGCATTAATAGCAAACTGTAGCCCATTGCTACTATTGAAAAGTAAAACTTTGAGTTTATAGCAGTAAAATCTAAATTCCCCAACAAGCACCTACATCTTCTGGCACAATTTTGTATCTCTTAGTGTTGAATTTCTAACACTAAGATATTCGTTAGATATTCAACACTCCACTATCTCTTTGGAAATGTCTATAATGCAGGTATGTTTAGGAAAAGAAAGTATATTTAGGTCTAATGAGCAACTGCCTGTATATAATTCTGGATTCAGCATGCATGTATTTGTTCCATCTGTTCAATCCAATGTACACTAGCAGTAAACCGAGACAAATACAAGCGATTAAGTGCCCTACTATGACATTGAACTACATAAAGCATTTCAGTTCACCTAAATATAGAAAGAAAACCCTGTTTAAATGACTCTGATTAGAGAAACTGCTTGCTGTCTTGAAATGATGAGGTGGCAAGTTCTCACCTTTTTGTGAGGGCCTACAAAATTCAGGACTCTCGTAGCAGTCCTGCAAGCATGCTTTCTTTGCTGAAGCGTCAGCCCTGCATGACAAGTGTATGGAGATTCACAGTAACTGTATTTCCATCCCTTGCACCTGCAATGTATAATATTTTAGTCACTGATAATGTGTTGACAGACAAGTCTTCCTGGAATGCACAGCTTCCTATAGGAGTACAATGTATACAATTTATTTAGCAGGCATTGCCACGGTGGAAAATCACTGCAGCCCTTATACTGGCCCCTGGAACATCATGGGACAACACAGCAAGGTAAATGGCATTAAATTTCCACTGTACTTATTTGCATACTAGCATTTCCCACAGACTGTACGAGTTATTTACAGTTATTTACTGCACAGTGGGAAATCTCTGGCTGCTCCGGTGTTTTCCACCAGCTTAAAAAGAAATGCTTTTGATGTGACTTTTTTCTACTCCTACCTTGTTAATTTAGCCATTCCTCTCTCACATGCAGTCCTCATTTCCCAGCATACTGTAACACATTAAATACAGAAAACCAGTCACTTAATACTTAGTACTATCTACCCTTCAGATTTTCTGACACACGTGAAGTCTTGATTTAGAAGAAGAGGTTGCATCTTTCCATACTTTGCAAGACAGCCCTTTGGCACAGTCACATCGCTGGAAAATCTCTAGTCCGTGGGAGCCTTTCTTGCGCTGCTTGGTGCACACCTCCCCCTGATGCAATACAGGCTTGCAAATTTTGGTCCAGAAATGGCGAGCACAGCAGTGTCCCTCAATACAGTCTGATGACCGCAGGCAGGGATCGCCTTCATGTCCTGAAAAGAACAATCAAACTGTTTTACCTCAGGGGAAAATGGAAAAGGACAAATTCTGAGCTGCAAATGAAGCTCAGAAAAAGGAGAGATGACATTTCCATCTGTGGCTTTTTTGAAGGACATAAACACAAGAAAAGAGATGAATTAGGAAGGTTGGGAGGTTCAGAAAAGTAACTGTTAAGAACTGCCACAAGACTTAGTAAAGAGAAATTCAGCTACAGGTTTGTAGACAAAATGACAAATGCATAATGACATTACTCTTACAAGAGGAGGATGTGCACAATCTTGTACAACTGAAAAGTGAATTTTCATTCCCCTCTAACACAGGGAAGAAAGCAGATGCTATTTCAATCAGAGGAAAGTGGTGGTCAGTATTACCTTGCTTTTAGAATTGTGCTCTGAATTCTCTTAATGGAGATTCACAACCTCTGAAATTACTATGTATTGCTGGTGTGTGCTGCTGTATTTAAATAGCGTAATGTTATTGATAGCAGAATGGTGAAGTGCAAATGTGATCTTACCTTTAATGTGTGACAGCTTGGACTGCGCCCTCCCTAAGTTTTGCCATCCCAAATCCTTGCTAGCATAATGACTGTTCTTCTTGTTGCGTGGCCCCTCTAGTGCAGGGATGTGAGGTGTGAGGATGTTTTCAGTTACTGGTACACAAATGCCTGCGAGGAAAAGTCAGTCAGTTGTAGATTTCAGCAAGAGGAGAAGAAGCTGAGGAACATACTTGGGCCAGGATCAGTATTGAGACCATTAAAGTGAGGGGGATGTTGGGCTCAGCTTCGGTGACTTTTCGCTCTGTCACTGATCCCTAGCCTGTCTTCACTACAGCTGCACTTCACTCCCTATCACAGAGTCTTGCAGTCTGACCTCCTGGAGACTGTCTTGGAGACATCTCCTCAGGTCTCAGGAAAAGAGTATGGGAATGTAAATAGTACAGTTACAACAGAAACCCCAAGAGGGAGTAACTCAGGGATTCACTGTGTCTATTTTGCTTCCTTAAGGATATGGGCTCTTTGCAGATTTACAGAGAATTGAGCAACAAGGAAAGTAGTGCTGGAAAAATGCTCTGATTTCTTTGTCTGTGGCTTCGTCATTTGGGGGGTTTCTCTACAACAAAAGAGGAAAAAGTCTAGTAATAAGGAGGCCTTAATCATAAAAATACTATTAAAGAAAGTGGAGAAAAGTTTTAAAGATAGGTACATTAAAAAACAATTAATTGCTAATGGAGTAGAGGAAATGATAACGACGACTTCAGGTATGGGTCTGTTTCAGGGAGAGGAGGAAGGCAAAAGAAGCTGGGGAGACTGAACAGCCTCTAGCATGGCACAGCTCTTGGATTCTGGCTCACAACGCACTGTCTGTTGGAGCCGATTCTCCTTTCCCTCCTCTCCTCTCCTTCCCTCTCCTTCCAAGCCTAGCACCATCCAGTTCTACATTAATATGACAGCCACGAATCCGGTCACTCTAATTTTACTCTCACGTAGCTGATATTTCTACTTGGATAGTTCGGCACCAAATTTCCCTTGTCCAACAACACAATGGATAGATAACTTTTATACAGACTGATTAGACTGGTTACTTATGCAATTTTGAAAATAAGATCCTAGTGTTTTTTATAAACAGAAGAAAAAGATCATTCAACAACTTTTCTAAGCCAAAGAAAAATGGGGAGGACAAGTGGAGCTTATAGCGTATGTTATTTTCAATATCTGAAGGGATTTTATCTTGGTTTAGAAAAGGAAATGCAGTCACAAGGAAAAATACCTCTGCTGAGAACACTCGGAAAATCTATTTTCAGTAGAACTGTCAAAATGCTGTTGGTTTTTTTTTTGAGGGAAAACAAGAAACGAGTGACGTACCGTTGTTGCAGCGATTCCCCGGGCAGCACATGCCATCTCTGTGGCACCTTTTCTTCTTCCTCCGGCACAACATGCACGCAGATGATGCTTGATGAGGACTGTGACAGTACCGCCCAACTTCACATTCCTTGTCATTGGTGCAAGGATAGATCTGGAGGATAAAATGAAGAGTTTGCAGTGACACAGCATATACACTGTGTGCAGTATAAGACATGAACACAGTACATTAAAAAAAAAAGTTGAAGAAACATAGAAACATACAGGTGAGTTACCATTCACTAAGCTAAGAGATGCAGTTGTCTTTACAGCAGCCTTGTCCTTGGGCTCAAGCTGCTGGTGGAGCTGGATCACTGCCTCAAGAATGACAAAACTACAACCCATTCCTTTGGTGGTTTCATCTTTTCTTGTCTTAAATATATGCTGTCACAACAGAACTTATATTTTTGTGTGTTTCAGGATACGTGGGTCTCTCATTCATAGACAAGAGTATAAAATTCCACAATGAAGGGAAACAGCCAGAGAGTGACTCCTCTCAGTCACTGAAAGAACACTCTGCAACAGGTAACTTTTACATTTAGATCAGAACTCCAAGGAGGCATTTTTCTTTGACAAGTGCCAGATGGGATAAGAAATTCACATTCTCACAGTGAAGATAGAATTATAAAGGTTGGTAAAGACCAACCACCAGCCCATCACCACCATGCCACTAAACCATGTCTCTCAGTGTCACATCTCCTTGTATACCTTCCAGGGACAGTGACTCCACTTCTCTGGGCAGCCTGTGCCAATATCTCGCCACTCTTTTGAGATGAAATTTTTCTTGATATTTAACCTGGACCTCCCTTGGCACAACTTAAAGCCATTACCAAGTTGTGCCAGCCTATGAATTTTGAGGCAGTCCACATCTTCACCAGACCGGTGCAAGCTTCTTCACGATTGGACCATTCCACTCCAACCTGTACCATTCAGACTCTTTGGAAGTGAACAACCATCTCTAATCAGCATTTAGCTTTGATAGCCTTTACTTCATTTAAGTTCTTACTATTCTCCTTAAGCTTACCAACTGCTGAACAACATCCCTAATATATATCACAGACTATGTTATACAACACAAAATCTCTTAGACATATAATTGCCTGAAAGCACAGACACAGACAAACCAACATTATCCTGTAGAAAAATTGACTGATTCCTAAAAAGAAGATATGAAGGCACTGTATTCTCCCATTAAGAAGAGAAAAGTCAGTAAGTATTCCTACAAAAGAAGAAAACGTGATGCTTGAAAGAGACATAACGACACCACCATTTTCCAGGATCCCTTTTGCTGAATCCCAAGCAGCTTCAACTGCACTCACTGTCTGCATCTAATTTTAATTAATTAATTAATTAAAATAAAATTTTATTTATTTATTTATTTAAAATTAATTTAATGGGCATTGTAATTAATTTTAATTAATTAAAATTAAATTAAATTTTATTTATTTAAAATTAACTAAAATGCCCATTTTATAGATCTTGTTAATTAAAAATTAAAAATTAATTAAAATTAATTTAATTAATTAATTAAAAATCTTTAATTAAAATGCCCAATCATAGATCTTTTTCCATTTCTCAAAATTATCCTTGAGGAAATTTGTTTAGATAAAAAGATGAGAATGAGGCATTTTCTGGAAAATGTTTACACCTCCTCAGCTGATTTTCTCCAGCATTTTAAAGGAATCAAAGTGTTACTTTTGCTGTTTTCAAAATGACTACTGCAATTATGTATTCAACACAAACAAAAATCTCAATTTTCAATGTAGAATGATTACTTTTAAAATATTTTTTAATCAAGTCTTGATTATACTGCTCTCAGAAAAGAAAAACTTGGACGATGTTGAGAATTTGCTATGAAAAATTGTTCTTTTAGATGGAGGACAGCCTGTTTCTCTGTCTTTCTGCTATTCTCTTGAAAACTGCAGAAGAAACAAGAGGTCAGACAAAAACACTAGTGCCTTTAGCTGGGAAGAACCATGCCGTTTTCCATATGATTTCATTAATTGTCTTCTTTTTCAAAATTTATTTTACAGTATCTAAAGAGCTGGCTGGTTATTTCCAGAGTGCTGCTGTTCCATTACTTCTGCCCTATGAATATCTGCATCTTTGGAGAATGAATAGAGAGCACAGCTGTTTGAAGAACTTGACGTATGTAAAAGGCTTTCTCCCTTAACAGTAAGTATTTCCTCTCAAGTTCATCCTCATTCATCAAAGAAGGTCAAATCTTTTAGCTAGGAGCAGTGGTAAGAGACAAATGCAAATGCTCACCTTTGTGGTACTCAAGGTATAACTGGATTTCCCTTGTTCTAGGAAACCAGACCTAGATAAAGTGCTCTCCCTTCAACCTTATTGGTCCTTTTCCTCATTTTTCCCAGCAAGAAATAATTAATCCTAATGAATAATTACAATATAGTTGAATCAGAACCCTACTAAACTAAACAACAGAAAATTCAGAAAAATTTTGTATGGATCTGTGTGCATGGCTTTACTGAGTTTGGAAAATATTAACACTGCTAGCAGGGGAAAATGCAAATAAAAAACAGATGAACAAGCTGTAACCTGGAGATGAA